GCAAAAGGCAACGATGAGCCGGGAAAGATTGGGGATTGGTTTGGGGTTACCACACATTCTCGTAGTTCGTGTTCGATTCGCCAGCTGTCGAGCTTTGCAATTCAAATTTCTCAGCCTCGCATCATTGATGAGACCAGCCAGGGCAAATGTCTAAGGGCAAATTTTGGATACAATTAATTCCAGCTAGATATTCTAAGTTAAGATAACAAACACGGTTCTTAAAAATGTTTCTTAAAAGATTTGGCTAAGTTTGTTTGATCAAAAAGTACTGGGAATTCAAGAAGTGATTCATAAAAGAATGCTAGTTCAAATTTTAAAAGTACTAAATCGAACAATACCCTAAAAATTGTAATAATAATATTTGTAATACATTTTTAAATTTACTTAAAAATCTTAATCGATTCACAAGTCAATTTTGAAAGTATGTATTTTGTGAGTATTTTTAATCAGCTTTTGCAATGCAAATTTTAAACATAATCAAGAAGTTATTAACAACATTTCGTGACCCGTCAAAGATTAGACATACCAATTAGCAAGGCCTAACAAGGATAATTTGTATGCCGAAATCAAGGACTAAAAATTCGCAAAAATTAGTACTGATTACTGCAGCATATGGCGAAGTACAGACTTTTTCATTAGATTCCGATGCTTCATAAAGGACCACTTTCCGGCCTATTAGAAACTCATTAGTCGCACGACCCGGCCAAGTTTGAACTAATAATGTGGTGGCCTGGTGTGTTGGCCATCGGCAGCTCAATTGAAAGAAATTTTCCAATTTAACGGCAAAGTGCGCTTGTTCCGGAGCAATGGGAATCTCATGGAAAACCGAAAGAGTGGCAAGTGGCGCCGAGTCGGCAGCCAAGTGGCCAATTACGGATTCAGGCTCCGGCACAGGGCACAATACCAATCTCAAACTGTGGCATCAAGTAGACAAATATAGACTATTGTATGCCTATGCACGTAATGCATTCCCATCCTGTCTCCATTTGGCATTCAAAAACTGTGCGTCTGTGCGATTTTGACGCATATTTGCCAGGCCCAAAACTACCTCGCCCACCCACTATCCTCAGTCATTGATACTCACATTTGCACAGGGAGAAAAAATAAAGTAAAACAAAATATGAACAAAATGTAGTATTAACTATAACAATTTTGAAATTTCAGAAATGAATAATACATTATAATTTTGTTCTATGTTTATAAAAACTTTAGAAAGAGGAATCAAGAATTATGATTGCATTTCCGAAAACTTATTTGTATAAATCATAACTTAATCCACAAATAAAAAATCGGTACATGGGAAAAGAAATGTATTAAAAAAACGATTTTAGGGCTACTTTGAATAACTATCTCTTGAAAATTTCATCTGCGACCTGATCTCAGTACCTTTTTACTGATGAGGAAAGGTTCTCTAAATTGGGGACTTACTCCAATGATAAAATCTTCATAGCTCTCTTATTGTTATATGACTTTTTTCCAGTGTATCTGTTCGAGGCAGCAGCAGGCTGAAATGCACAATTGCTTCATTTTGCAAAAGGATTTTATTAAACCCGAACCCGAGTGAAGTTGAAACCGAAGCAAAGTGTTGGTCGATAAAGGCAAGTGCCAGGCTGTTTGGTGATGGAAAGAGTGGGTTGGTGGTGGGTGGGTGGCCTGTTTGGGGAGTGGGAGTGGGAGTGAATGTCCTGGCTGTCAAGGATCCAAGGATACCAGGCAATCGAAGTCGATTTGCCTTCGAGCGTGTGTGCTTGTGTGCGTGCGTCTGTTTGCGTAGTTATGGTAAATATTCATATTTGTAGCGTGTGCGCAATGTGTTGAAATTAGCATTTATGAATTTTGTGCCAAATGTCGAACTCAAACACTTACGTGGCACGTACACATGCACATGGCAATCCCAACAGAAACTACATTGAGTGACTCGTTCCCCTCATTTAACCCACTCCAGAATCAAAACCTCCTCGTCTCTTTGGCTGCTCTGTATTATGCGAGAGATTCCTGGTTATGGCTTTGTGGCTTTTTGGGCCAGCGGCTCACATTTAGTCATTGGCCGTCCATTTGCATTTAGATTGCGCCCCATTCCAAACAGTGAAATCCTCCAGCCCGCAAAACCCCTTAACCCAATGATGCCAAACAACTGCCACAAGTGACTTCTTTGAACTGTTTGGTCAGGAAAAGGCCAACGAGTGACATCTGCTGCTCGACAATTTGTGCAGCCCTCTGCGGTAAGAAGTTCGTGTTCATGGGCACCGATTTACATAATTATAAGTGGAAAGTTTGCAACAAAGAATCTGCGTTTCCCATGGTTTTCCGAACAAATAGTTTTACCGACTACTGGTACAACAATCCGCTTTTACTCACTTTCTGTGGATGTTGGGCAGATACTTTTAGAGAAAGAATATGTTCTAAAGTATCTGTTTCGGCTATATAACTTTGATAAATAGATTTGAGTAAACATTTTTAAATAGGAAGCTATTAAGATATTCTTAAAATAAATATTCTAGATTAAAATATAATGGTTTCAAGATATGGCGATTAAAAAACATTTTTATCGGCGATTCTGTTTAATTATTAATCAAATACGGATATTTTTATGTCTATAATCAAAATCAGCGATTAAGTTTGCACTATTTTGGTTCCCATGTCGTTCGACTATTGTTTCCAACATTTTTCTCCCAAAAATCAATTCATTTTGTGCTCGCTGCTTCAATATTGCTCTTTAGCCTTTGTCAACACACGCGTCCTATAAAAATAAAAAGAAATGCACATTTATTTTGCTGAAATGTATTTGGTTTATTATGCGATTTGCCACTCTTTGTGCATTGTGTATTATGATGGTCTTTTATGGGAAAATCAAATTGATTTTTGATTTTTATTGTTTACATAAAATGCTGGAGGGAAGTATTACGAGCTGGAAATTCACAAGCACCATATAAAAATCAACGTTTGTCAGCGATTTTTTGAACTGATTGAAATTTAAAAGCCTTTTCTCGGGTGATTTCCCCATAATAATCATTGTGCGATTTCGAGGACAATTTAGGGGCTACAAATCGATGTTTGATTTGGAGTATGAGCATGCCAAACATTCACTCAATAAATGGCAAAAAGTTTTAAAAATAAAATAAGCAACCAGTTTTTGATTGGGTATTTTAAATGGAGTTTTTTATTTTATCGACAAAGTTTAAGATCTAAAGTTTTTTTATCACCTAATTTAACATAAATGATTTTTTAGTATGTATAAATATTGGAAAGTAAATACTACCTAAAAATAAGGGGAATTAATATAATTATAATAAGCCAATCATTTCGGATTAAAAAACTGAACCAAAATACAAAAAAATAGTCCTTCGAATTGCGCGGAAGGGCATTTGAATACCATCCTCAGCCTTTACGGTAATTAATTACGTAATTTACACATTTACGAGCGGAAAGAGATCGTTCAGTGAAGGAGTAAGCGGCTCGAATGTGGTGCAAGTGCTTCTCTCAACTGTAAAAGGACATTGCAGGATTCGGGAGTTTACCTCGTCATTCGTCAGGCCAATTTTTTTTATTTCAAATGTCCCCTTGCACTTGTTTGGCCTTGTCCGCTTTTGATTAATGATGCGGACACAGGACACTAGACACTGGATATGGAACTGGATCTCTTTTTTACGGCCGCAGTTAATGCGTGTATCTGCAAACGACTTACATGCCTAGAAAGGACATGGGGTGGTCGCAGATTCCTCGGTAGTATCGCCAGTGGTGGTGGCAGTGCCCAAACTCAGTGGTGGTTGAGTCCAGGCTCTTTGTTTGCCCACTTTTGCAGCGACCCCTACCACAAACATCCCTTCGAGAGCCGTAAGGATATCCTTGGCCGTATCGGTGTCGCGATTGGGGTTTAATCTGGTTAGCGGCCCTGATGACGACAGCCGGGAAAATAGCAGGAGAACCGGGGAACAGGAGAACCGGAGAACTGGAGAACCGGATACCCGGCGAGACGGTGACGTTTAAGCACAATTGCTGTGGCTAATGTGACACATATTGTGACAAATTGCCTGAACTTGTACGGAGCTTAGAGGAATGGTGGGGGTGTTTGTTCCTCGGCGGGGTTGGATTCGGCCGGAATTGTGTAAACACGTGTTGCAGTTCCTCGTAAATCAATTAGCCACCGATTGCCCAAGTGTTTTCTATTCAGGTTTTTGAATTCTGATTCGGACTTATCGCAAAAGGACTTCTAATATTTAATTTTAAGAGATTATGATGTGTTAGGAAAGATAATAAATACAAATGATTGATTAAAAATCTTCCCTGCATTGGGAAACTACATAACACTTGTATAAGGTTTCGAAATGTTGAAGATTTCAAATACTTTCGATAAAATTATTGTCCTAATTGCGCCTTTTGAAATTGTAAGTTGTTATTAGCACGCAATTATGAAAAGCCTGACGACTATGTAAAACTATATCATCAATACGAAAAGTTTTTCAGTTTCGACAATAAATAAAACCACTTTAAATCAATTCAAAGAATACGTGTTTGATTTTATGTAAAACAATGGTAATAAAAAAAATTATTTAATATGTTTGGTATTTAGTAAAACTGTTTTTTAAAGTACACAACTATTTACGTTATAAATACCTATTGCTTATTTAAAAATATTTTAAAACTCAAAGTTGCACGATAAAAATAAATATTTAAAGATCTCGATTTCAACTCAAATTGGGTTACTTCTTAAAGTCAGTCTCCTTTCCACTTCGTTTCAGGACATGCCGATGCAGTTTCTCCTTCTGAACCCAGACAAATAGAGGCAGGGGAACTGGATGCCAGTCAAAAGTCCGGTCCTCGGGGGGCATTCGCAACACATTCATGTCGACGCTGTCAAACGGCCCGTCATCGTGGGGAGGTTACGGATCCGTATACTTACCGGATCCGGATACGTCCCTTTGAACTATGCATGACGAATCGGCATTTTACGCCCATTCCCGTTCCGAAAGCGAAGGCCAAATCCAACGGGGTTGCGACTGCTGTGGCAAATGCCTCTGTGCCTGTCAACCGAGCGGAACTAATTTCGAGGCTGCACCTGCAGAGCCACCAATTCCGACCGAGATGCGATGGTGGTGCAGCAAGTGGGGTGATTGCGCAAGTGGTGCAGCTTCCAAGGGGGAAAATCTACTTTATCGGGGTGTGTTTAAGTTCGATTGCTAGCACATTAACATTCTTTTATTTTACAAGGTCTAATTTTGATTTGGGCTTAAAATTCGAAGGCCTCTGCTGGAGGCCAGACTAGTGATCCATGGAGTCCTTGACGCCGCATTCGCCGTAGGCCTGCAATTCCTCTGGCCGGAAATAGGAGCTCTGCATGCTATATAGCCGGTCGATCGGATTGATCATGGGCGTCTGGGCGAAGGGTCCCATTAGCTGCTGAAATGTGGCATAACTCAGTCCCAGAATGGTGTTCAGTATGGGCTCGCTGTTCTTGTTGCAATTTTCTGCAAGGTATTTAAGTTAGTTCCTTGAGCTTCTATCACCTCTTTGCGGATTACCCACCCTTGTTGGTCTCCATGCAGTTGAAGGGCACTTGCTCCTGTTCGTCCTTAATGGTGCATCGCATCCGTGTCACTCCATCCGAGGTTGAGGTCGTGGAATAGGGCGATTCCAGCTGCGACTCACTGTCGCTGTGCGCCTCGTCCTTGATCTTGGTGGCCAGGCTGCTGTCCAGCGACTCCTGCGAGTCCTGCGAGTCACTGGCTCCCTTGCTGGGCGGCTCCTGCTTGGCCTTCTTCTGTATCTTTTTGACCTTGGCTCTTTGGTTCTGGAACCAAACCTGGAGATGAGAAGCAACATAATTATAATTATTATATAATTATATAATCAAAGGAATAATAATGGTAACTAAATTAGTAAACATAATGTTTTGTCGAACCAAATTCTTAAACTGAATTTAAATTTATCTAAATATTTTAAATCTTTCCTTACAAAAAGATATCTGTTATTCTTTAATATACATTTTCTATTGTTTTAGATTGTTCTTAGTTAACTTTAATGATTCCACTTTCTTAATATTTTAAATTTTTAACTAAAATGTTTATTTAATTTAATTTACCTGCACGATCCTTAGGCTTAGGCCAGTATCCTTGGCCAGAGTTTCTCTCACTTTGCGACAGGGTTTCGGTGAAACTTCAAAGGACGCCTTAAAGGCTCGTCTTTGTTGGGTATTTAGTATAGTTCTTGGTCTCTTGGGTCCACGCCTTCCATCCAATTTGGGCGGAAAGAGCTCATCGCCATAGAAATCTACTCAATGGTATGATAAGTATCTTGAACTTCATCCAAGTGCATCTTTAACCCACCGTATCCCTGCAGCATCTCCACCTCCTTCTCGTAGTCGAAGCGGCAGAAGAGCTGCCCCTGCTTGACCACGTACTGCTCCCCTTTCTTCAGCAGAGCCCCACAAACCACACAGGCGAAGCACTTCAGGTGGAAGACGTTCTCGTGGCACCGCATCACCAGCTCATCGGAGGCGATTTTGAGGCCACATCCCAGGCAATGATTGCGGATGTAGAGTCTGTGGTAGAGGGAAGGATCACACTTAGAAAACTATTATCCATGATATTTAGAAACATTTCTACAAATAAGATGTGATTAATATTACAAAAATTAGTTTTAAATTAAAATATTACAGAAATAATTGTTATTCAAAACTGTTTTATAAATTTTTGTTTTAGAAAAAATATGCAAGATGTTTACTTTATGGAATAAATTAATTTAGTGAGAGGTTCTGTAATAAAAGGGCGGTGTTCAATTTACAAATTAAATTTTAAGCTTGTGGCGTTAGAAAGAATTTCTCAATTATTTTATTAGACTCGATAAAAGCCAGTTTTTTCGTTCCAATTTCTATAATTTCATTAATATTTTATAAGTTTTTAAGTGCCGAAACCGACATTATTAAAAAAAAATTGAGATGTCTGAAAAAACAACAATCTTTATAAGTTCAAAATAAGTAAACAAAAATAATTTTCATACGCATTGAGTGGTTAAACTACCCTTAGCTCAAAGTAAATGGGTCTTGAAAGGAGTGCCTTGCCTTGAGTGGCTGGCACTCCTCGCAGAGGTCACGTGGGAGTCACCCGGACACCCGGAGGACACCAGGACTCACCTCTCGTAGTCGAGGCGGCAGTAGAGCTTGCCCTCCCTCGCGTAGCAGGAGTGCACCAGGTGCAGCGAGCAGGCGGTGCACTTGAGGCAGCCCTCGTGGAAGGAGTTCTCCACCACGCGCATTATGTAGCGATCGCAAATGGGCTGGCAGCAGTGGGCACACTGGCTGAGCTGGTTGCCCATGGCACCCATGACACCCAGCTCCACACCCAATGCCGCACCCATTCCCTGGGACGCCTGCTGTGCGCTGGATGCCGATGATGGAGGTGCTGCCGGTGTGGCAAAGCTGTCCATTCCATTGAGGCTGCACTCGCCCAAGGTGATGCGGCTGCAGAGTGCTGGGTGGCTGGGATGGTTGGGTGGACCAGGTCCTCCTGCCATTTGGCCCATGCCCATCGACTGCTGCTGCTGTTGCGGCTGGTGTTGCTTGTTTATGGCGTTGCTGTTGCTGCTGCTGATGTTGCTGCTGCTGCTGTTGTGGTTGCTGCTGCAACTTCCGTTGACATTTCTGCCGACTGACGCCATTTTGTCATTGTGGGCCACTGCCACTATGGCCTTACCCCTTCCGGTTGCCACTGCCACTGCCGATGTTGCCGCTGTCGTTGGTGTTGTTAACATGCGTTCATTTCCGTTCAACAGCAGTTGATTGAGGCCCCCAGCCTGCGGTTGGTTCGCTCCCAGTTGCTGTTGCTGTTGACATTTTATGTCCATCGGAACTATTTTGGTTTTGCGGTCGTGTCGTGGGTCCAGTGTTCAGTAAACAGCATACCCAGTCCGCCGCCGGGGGAAACATGCAAATGAGAAACATTTCAGTTATTATACCCTTGCAGAGGGTATTATAATTTTGGTCAAAAGTGTGCAACGCAGTGAAGGAGACATCTCCGACCCTATAAAGTATATATATTCTTGATCAGGATCACCTCCTGAGTTGATATAGCCATGTCCGTCTGTCCGTCTGTCCGTCTGTCCGTCTGTCCGTCTGTCTGTCCGTCTGTCTGTTTCTACGCGAACTAGTCTTTCAGTTTTAAAGATATCGAATTGAAACTTTGCACACACCCTTCTTTCCTTTGCACGCAGTATATAAGTCGGAACGGCCGGGATCGGCCGACTATATCCTATAGCTGCCATATAACTGATTGATCGGAAATGCCATAACTTTGGTGTTTGTAAAGTTAGACTGTTGGGATTTTCTATGGGTTTTATATTTGGCTAATCAATCCGACATGCCGAATTTCATAAGGATCGGCCGACTATATCCTATAGCTGCCATATAACTGATTGATCGGAAATGCCATAACTTTGGTGTTTGTAAAGTTAGGAAGTCGGCATTTTCTATGGGTGTTATATTTGGCCAGCCAATCCGACCTACCAAATTTCATAAGGATCGGCCGATTATATCCTATAGCTGACATATAACTGAACGATTGGAAATGTCATAACTTAGGTGTTTTTGAAGTTAGGAAGTTGGGATTTTTTATGAGTATTAAGAATGCATCATATGAATAATTTTGGAGAATATAATTTACAGAGTATTCTGCAAGGGTATATCAACTTCGGCTCCGCCCGAAGTTAGCTTTCCTTTCTTGTTTTTATTTTCACTTTGGCATGCACACTGCGGCCCGAATGGAGCCTCCCCCTTTTTTTTGAGTCAAATTTACAACTATGGCTGCTGAGGCCGGGAAAAAAGGGATTTGTATTTGCGGGCAGTGTCCATCTGCTGGGCACTGTGACCATAACCGTTTCGAGTTGTAGTAAATTTGTGGTTTTGCAATTATTGAAATGACTTTTCCAACAAACAAAGAGTGAGTGTGTGCGAGTGCCACTGCACTCGAAATTCCCCGAAATGCCATGCAAAATGGTATGTACAATAACACAACAAAAAAAAAGAAACAGCCAACGCTGCGTATGCGTAACCGATGCGTATGTGCGATTGTTCGGGTTGGTGGCAAAAAATTACTGTACATTTGCGGTGCTGCTGACTGGTTGGCTTTTTGTGCCTTGTTGTCTCAATTTATGGCAAATTGCTGAAATTTCAACGTAATTTGTTTCCCAGCTTTTTCTGTGTGTGTGTGTGTGTGTGTGAGTGTCGTTCATTTTGTTTGGTTTTTCACTTGTTTTCGTTGCATTTTTCCCCGTTTCATGTGTGCGTTTGTCATTCCGCATTTGAGTGATTTAAATGTGTGCGTAAATTCATTAAATGTTTCGCAAAAATTATATTTGGTATGCCAATTTATGCCAGAAATATGCACAGAATGTTAAAGTATTTTTGCCATCGTTTACATTAACAACTCAGCTACACCTCTTACACTGATTGACGTGAATTGGTTTAGTTCTGTTTGTATTTATTTTGCTTTGCAAAATGGTGAATAAATGTAGTTTTGAGCACATTTAATTAAACTGCACTTAATTGCCATTTGCAGCTAGGATAACTGTTACAAAATTTATAGAAAACGTTAAAAAAAACGTCAGAAAATCATCCATTTTCAGACAATCCATTTTTCAACAATCAGTTCATCGCAAATCAATTAGATCATTTCTGAAATATATGCAACATTTTACAGGATATTTATTTTTATATATAAAAGTATAGTCATTAAAGGCGAAAGTAGATAGAAATATATATATTATTTTATATTATATCTATTTGGTAATATTATCTGGCTTCAATTTTATAAATATGTATTTCCATAAAACCTTAACTGTGAAAATGGTCACCTCAAATTTTTTTACGAATTAAAATTTTCTAAACTAGTTTTTTAAATTAATGTATATAAATAAATTTATTATTTTTAAGTTTGTACAAGAATTTTTTTTCTGGGAATTAAACAATTTTGACTGTCTAATACTTTTTATGTTTTTAAGTTTCCCTATTCTTAGAAAGTTACGTATAAATATGAATGGTAATTAAAGTCTGTTGTAAATTAAATCTTTCAAAGCTTGAGAGATTGTTCCTTATTTATCTAAATCTATATGACACAAAATATAAAGGCTGACAAATTAATTAAATTTGTTTTCGGGGAGACTTCGGGGTGACGTAAACCAACTTTTCTGCATGCTGTCAATAGTAACTACAGTCTCCAGCAGTCAGTCACCCATTCTCCAAGGCCCAAATCCTAATTTCTTCCCAATCTTAACTTGTGACACTTGGAACAACGGGGAGCTATTTACTAAGAAGTGCAGCGGAATAATCCGCTCAGCGGTTGCACCTGTTACACTTTTTGCCTTTTGACATTCGAAAATATTCCAACATGTTTGCCGGACATGTCGGATCGTGGATCTCGAGGATTTGGGAAGACAAGTGCAAAGCCGTCATTGATAGTCCTTCCACTTTTCCCCACCCCCTCGCCCTTCCCCCGCTCTAATTAGATTCTAATGTGCAGCAGGATCTAAGGGGCGGGAATGCCACCCCTTGCACTGCTTATAACTAGATTATAAACGAATTTCATTGAATCGGGGGCATTTAGCAGGAGGATTTCCACCCTTACGGAAAATATGCTCGGGCTTAGCAAATAACCGGAGATGAGGCCAGGGGCTCATGATGTTGGTTTCGGCGGCTGGCGGCATATGTTGGCAGTCGACAGTCGGCAGTCGACAGTCGGCAGTTCGCGGGCGGAAACCCTTGGAAACCCTTGCCAGGATGCCAGGATGTCGGGCTGCCAGGATGCTGTGTGCTGCCTCTGATTCCGCTGTCAGTTGCCAGCGGTTCGCAGTTCCCAATTCACAGCTCGGCAGCAACTGACAGCGTTTTATTTAATCGGATTTGTGCAGACAATGAAGTTATGGTGCCGTTTTGTTGTGCCAGCAATCGCAGCGTAAATGCTTTGTTTTGGCCTAATCTCTGACAGAAGTCAAAATTTGCTTTGCTCTGGAAAATATGTTGTAATTTTCAATGGCTCAGAGCCAGTTGAACGGAAGTTGGGCGTGTGTGCCATTGCTCATATGCAAACTTGGCACTATTGGTGTTAAAATTCTATCTTTGGACGCAGATTAAATCGGAATTGTTGATATAATGTTATAAATTTTGCTAGTTGATTTATAAAAGTAAACAAATCCGTTTATTTATTATTGTTAATACCGATAATAGCCATTGATTGTAATAAATTCTTCACGGATTTTTCTTCTATCGTATTGTTAAAAGGCTTGAATTTAACGGAGCTATAAATAAATTTGAATATTATTTTGTCAGTATGGTACTTTTTAACTAATATAATATTGATTATTTTAATAAAGAAAAGTGTTTTCTAAAGTTTTTCATTTTCAGAATCCGATTAGAATCTGTTGTATTATTTCAAACCACACATTGTGATCATAAAATGTTAGAAAGCTTTTAGGTTGTGAGTAGAGAAAGATTTTACGAGTTTTCATTATACTTTTGTAATTAACCTCCTCCTAATGATATAATAATTTTGCATTTTTTTATTTCTTTGTTGTGTTTACCTTCTCTATAATAAATTTAAGAATTCCCTGATAAAAATAAAATGCCGACGGCATCGACGAATAATGGGAGTGAAAAAGCCGTCGGTCTTTGGACACATGCAAAAAAATTCCTTTTCTTCGAGTCCTTTGATACTTACACATTCCAATCTGCATGGGATGCTGTTCGTCGATCATATTGCAATTGTTCAGTTTAAAAAGGAAAACTATAAATTCACGTTCACTGACATTTACATAATTTTCGCGAGTCTTTTCACGTGATTTTCATGCGTATCTTTGCACATTTTGCGAGGTCCTTTGGCGAGAACTTTCAAACGGGACACATTTCAGACTCGAACTGTCGATATAATTGCAGTGGAAAACTGTTTTGGGGCGGCCAAAATCGGACTTCTGACCTGGCCCTGTTACGAAACGCGATGCTTGAATGATTACGGACCTCTGATGTTAATGAAATTTGTTAAAAATCATTTGCTCTTCTTTGGCAAAATGCACAAGCATCTGCTGCCGAGATGCTGCCGCTGGGAATTTCTCTCCAATCCGAAGGAGAAATGGCCAATGTGTTGCTGTGTGCGTGTGCGCCATTTTAGCCACATCATATCCTGTGCTCCATCCCCTGTTCAAAAAATAAGTTGAGAGCCAGCCATTTCAGGATTCCCCAGCTTTGTGAGATTCGCCAGCATTTGGCGCATGCGTCGGTGCCCCCTTATATCATATCATCCGTTTATTCCGATTCCGAATCCGCTTTCTGGGTGGCGCTTTCTGGGTTGTTTTTCTGCCTTTGTTTTTGCACTTTTGACTTTTGTCTTTGTGGGGCTCGGTTCGGTACTTTTATTTGTCTCGTTGTACTATACGTATTTTGTATTGACAAAAGGATGTTTGGCTCGGCGATTTCTTGCTTGCTTTGTCGCCTCAGCAACAACATCCCCCAAAAGGGACCTTCCCCCTATGGCTGGAATTTTGTTTTCCTTTTTCTTCCTTTTTTTTCCGCCGTGTGCTATCTACGATTTTATTCCCTTTTTCCGCAGTGGCGTGTACATTTTAAATTTATTGATTTTCGAACGCTATAAAAAGGACTAAGATTAAAGACCAGCGGCAGCAGTGTCCTGGCTTTAATTTAAGTTTTGGGCCATTGTCCAGGCGATTTTGGGGGAGGGGGCAAAGGAGCCTTCCTGTTAATGACGCCCGGCCCTTTAAACTTGGCCCAAATGAATTCCTGGTCTATTAAGCCAGCGCGCCAAACTTTAATGTCTAAGCACTTGCCGGCTGACTGCATGTCTAGCTGCGAGTTGCGAGTTGCGAGATGAGGACTTGTCTGGCCGAAACTCCTGGCTTTTGGCTCTTGGCTCTTGGGTCGGCTGTTGCCTGTTTTCCGACGAAATTTCCCAGAAAGTTTCGTAAGCGCGAACGTGTTACTCACAATTAGTGTGCGGGCGGACCATTTAACTGCCAGCCACCTTTCGCCTTTCCACCCCCCGTTTTCCCTGCCCCGATGATGATAATAATTATGTGCGGTAATCTTTGCGATTCATAATCGCTACACGAAACACAGGGATGTGCAAAGAATTTAAAGTACAATAAAGCTACATTAAATACTTGATCCTTTGGTTATTAAGCTCGGCTTTCTTTTGTTCTTTTATGTTTAATATATATCACATTACTTCTGAATATGAGATAAATTATTTATTTAACGCAATCTTTATTTTATTTAAATTTACATGTCCGTTGTCAAACTTACTTGTTTATGTTCCATGTATAATAGAATGTGTAAGTTATTAAATTAGCGTAAGTTATAATCTAAAAGGATTTTCCAATAGTCTTCTATATTTATAAATTTCTTTTTTATGGTTTCCTAAAAGTTATGTTTTATTATATCAACAAATTACTAACAAGTGTTTTAACGCATAAAAATATTATATTTGAGTACCTTACAATTAAGTTCAAACCCTATAAGTTGGAAATAAGAATAAGTATGCAAAAAATACACAAACCAACAAACTCAAAATTTTTATAAAATCAATTTTTTTTTCAAGCAAGATATTTTTTTTTAAAGAAACTATAAGTCAGGGATATTATATAAGTAGCATTGATTGCGAGAACTGACTGGTTTTGGATGTTGTAATTCTGAAATAGGGCGCAATCCTCGCCTGCTTTATCTCACTCCCTCGCCGAAACTTTTGGCACTTTGTCTACGCGCGGCCTAGACATAGAAACTCAAGGGCGGCGGTTTTGGAAGGACTCGTCCTTCGTGCCTCCAGTCCTCCAATCCTCCAGTACCTCCCAATCCCAATCCCGATGTCATCGCCTGTCAGGCGCTCGAGTTCGCATACCGCTCGACACTTTGTGCTAATGACTAAGATTAATTTGGGTCAGTGTGCTGCCGACGGCAGACCCCGGTATTGGGGCCAATTGCGGGGAAAGGGAGTGGAGTGGAGTGGGAGGAGGGGCAGCATGGGGTTCAGAGTGCATAAACTACATATGGGAATTATGCGCGTGCCTTTTGTATGAATGAATGTGCAGCTAGCCAAGTGCATGTGTTCGTGTGGATTGGCGGAGGGATTTTGGTGGCGTGCAGCGGAAACAGGAATTGTTCGGGGTTAATTAAACACGACATGTGTGGCATAGTGTGCATGTGTGAGCGGGGTGGAGTCCTGGTGACCCGCAAGTGTGAACTGCGAAATGGGGGCCAAGCGCTAATCAATGCGCCATAATAGACAAATGACCCATCGCCCTAACTTCGAGTTCATTATGCTCGAATTGTCGGCGTGTTGATGCGTTTATGTAGTTACAATTTCGGTCGCTATTTCAATGGCAGCCAAGTGCGTGCCCAGATATTGGACTAATATTGGAAAACTGATTTACGAGCTGAAAACTGATGGCTATTTTCGGGGAATAATTCCTAAATTAGCCTCCCGAAAGGGAAATCATTCTTAAAGTGTTAATCTATTTAAAGAGGAATATAGTTACAAATAATTACTGGTTTGTTTTAAAAAGAATAATCAAAAACTATTGTGCGAATGTAGTTGACAATTAGCAATTTGTTCTTTTATAAATTAGGGCCTGACTAATTCTGTTGATAAAACTATCTAATCAATTTATAAATTTCTTTGTTTTAAATCGGTAAGCACATTTATTTCAGATAAATATAAAATTATATGAAAAATTTAATTTGTTAATCCTATTGTAAACGGAAATTGTATTTATTCTGGTTAAAAATCAACATGCTTAATTCGAAAACAAGAGATATAATTTATTAAATCGTTAACCATAAGCTTACACACAATTGACATGAACAAATTGCGAATACTCGTTTATCCCGGTAAACTGTGCTCCACTAATGGCGTGATAAATTTTTGCGCCTCAACTTTTCTGTGTTTTTCCGGGTCAGAGAAAAACTGGCTGCATTTAAATGCAGGAAAAGCCGGCCCATAAATGTCCTCATATGGGGACAGAGCCGCGAGGGTCCTGAACTCCCGCTGCTCTGACCTGTTGAGCCAATTGGACCCACAGGGCTAAAAAAATAAATACACAAATATGTATTTATTTATATGTGGCCCAAGGAGGCGGCTCGCCAAACGCAGAATGAATAAAATATTTGGCATTACAAATTGTTGCGATTTTTTGTTGGCCGTCGGCCCAAAAGGGATGCGAATGCGGATGTGGATGCGATTGCGGATGCTGTATGCTCAGTGGGTGGTGGATGTGGGTGTGCCAGTGTGGCAACAAAGTAACGCTGAATTATGCGTTGACCAGGACCGAGAACGTAGGCCCAAGGACCAAGGACCAAGGATTCAGCGCCGCTGGCGATGCTTTTGCCATTGCTGGGTGGCTGGCGACAGGCCTAAAAAATAAATAAAACAATTTACTTTAAGGCATAATAAAAGTTCATGGCTGACAGTGCCATGCGGATGCGAAATGGAGGAAAGTTTCCAGGGTTCCTGTCGCCAGAGCACAGTGCAAAAAGAGCCTACGTTTCTTTATGGTATAAATAAATAAATAATAAATATACAACATATCTTAAAAAACGATATGAATTATCAATTAATTTTTCAATCATTTATAGTATTAAAATTGAAATCGTTTAAGTATTCATCGAACAAAAATTATCCAAGTAGTCTTATCAATATTCTATGGAGTAGAATTAAGTTTTAAAAAGAAAAATACATATTTTTGCTCGTAAGCTCTGAACTATTTATTTAAAAGAAAACCAAATTTAGTAAGTTGAGCGATTTTTAAGAAAACCGTCTTGAAAGTCTTTAGATATTCCTGCAAATCTCAAGTATTAAAGAGGTGTACATTATTTAAATATTGTTAGCTATATTTTGTACAATAGAAATTATTGTTGAAGATAAAAAGAATACATAAATCGAATATATTGAAAATATAATTGTCCCAATGAAAGACCCCCAAAGACCTTGTCTGTTTTTCTCTGTGCACAAAACCTACCGAATCGCAAATAGTAACGCAGATAGCCAGACAGAGTCAATATTTGATGGCAATTTTGGGCTGTGTTTCCAATAACCATTACGAATGGCAGATAGCACGAAATTGCGAACATTTCGCCCACAGCACCACACAGCGGGTTAAAACAAATAGTTTTCAGCACTACAAATACAACACTTCCTCTGAGCAAACGCCTTGGCGATGGAGACCTCATATCATATCAGAAACACTGACTCCAAACGAAGTCGCAATGGAATCCCGCTGGTTCGCAGCAGGCGACTTATACGGATCTGAGTTGGCATCTATTTCACAATACTTTAAAGCCTGTCCCCCTCATTCTTATATTCCGTGGCCCAGTGTCCCCCATTCCGGTTAAGCCTCGTCCATTCGCCTCGTCTTTGTGTCCTTCGCATGCGGACTACCCCCCTTCCCCTCCCACAGGAAGTCCTCACCCACCATCTCGCAGAAATTCCAAATCCGCTCTTAAGGGATTTGTGCATCATCGTTTTGTGCGCTGCGCTCATCATCGTCAGGATAGCATCAGCTTTTGGCATCAGAATCTGAATCAGGCGTCAGCATTGTGCTCCTTTTATGCGGCTCACTCTTTTCATATTACACGGCATTTGGCTATGACGGACATTCAAATCTTTTTTCAGCTGAAAACTGTTTGCTGATTGCGCCTTCTCCATTGTGGGGCACAAGAAGTGATTCTGGGGGATATGGACACTTAAAGGCGAATTATGTCCTGGTTGTAAATCGTTAAAGCAAGCTTTTAAATGGGTGGGTCTTACAGTTTTTTTTAATATGTTAAATTCATCAAGCGAATAACGGAGACCGCAAAAAAAAAGAATTTCAAAGTTACAAATATGTTGACTTTAAATTGGATATTATTTTGAGGGTTTTTGTTTAGTTAATTTATTTTTCATAAAGTATTAAATATGGGGATACTTTAAAATCCACTTAAGCTGTTTGTTAGTATTTTAA